AATTTTCATTACTGGGCATGGTAACCCTTGCGTATGTTGGGGAGAGAAATGCTCCACCCCTCAGGGTCCCCTTGAGGGGTAAGGGTTAAACAATTTAACGGGAATACCGTGCCCATGGTCCCCATAGGTTTGTCAAGTATGGCAAAAAGCCAACCTATCATCCTTTCAACATGGCTCTCACACCTTAGGATGTGGATAGTAAATGGGGTTGGAGAAGAGAAGAAAAAGGAAATGGGAAGAAGAGAAGAATGTGCAAAATTAGTTAGAGTTGAGGGCTGAGGCCCAAGACATACATTGGGCCTCAGTCTCCATTTCTTAAGGCGCCCCCCCTCTCCCCGACCACAATGGGCATAGGACTGGGAGGGGGAGTTCTTATTTAACATTTTTTTTCAATTGATGAACTAAAGACAAGGCATCAGGAAAATAAACTATAATTGTTCTTTTACAATTCCTTTATGAAATCATAAGTTTGCTATCTACAAAAATTTATACTCTAACATTGCAGCACAGTAAAAAATTACTGGCAATTATAATATAAAGAAACTATATAAAAGAATGAATATATTACATAAAATCATACAGCTATACATGTCCTGAAAATAAATAGAACAAATGATTCAATTTCCATGACCTGCTACTAAAAGAAAGACTCTGCTAACTAAAATCAATACATACTCAATTACCCAAATGTGACAGTGGTCAAAGACAAAAGAAAATGAAAACACCAAAGATATAGATATCAACATCACTGATACTCTCAAGCAAGTGTGTGTGTGTGTGTGTGTGTGTGCGTGTGCGTGTATGCCTTACAGACTTTCTGTCCACAATACAATTAAAATACTTTCATCCATGTGGCAATCTAAGTTACTATAATATGTAAAAATAATGACAAATAACAAATAATGAATATATCCAAAAAGCTTAAAGAAAGATATTTCTAATCATAATTTACTTTGTATAATAAAACATGATCATTTTTCATTTAAAATTAATTATGTATTTTAGAAAAGTATATAAGACTCTGTGTATCAACATTTGTCATTAATTCTTAAGACTGAAAACACAAAGAAAGAAAGAAAGAAAAAAAAAAAAAAAAAAAAAACAGAAAATATGTTTATTCATCCTATTGTTACCAGACAAAAGGAAATACAAAAGCAATGAATTTAGTTGCTCCATCTAACAAAATCCTACCAGTCTTCACACACTTTAAAAACATAATTTGATATCACTCTAAAATCGACACATTAGCAATACATGTTGTGTTCTTTTTACACTGGACTACAAGGCAACAGCAATAGATGTGTTATCCTTGCAATATGGTAAAATCTCTCATGCTTCCATCGCTGTCCAGTTTCAAGCTATGTTCATTGGCTAAGTGAAGGAGTGCAATAAAAGCCAGAGGAACAGATAAATTCTCTGTCATCTTTGAAGACAACTTGGATGGAAGATCCTTGTATAGGCTTGTGAAATCAATCTTGTAATTTGGATCCATCTTGTCTTGTTGCACATTTGGTTGAGCATGATTTTCAGACCTGGAAAAAAGAAAGGATAAGATGAAGAATATGGAATGTTCGTAAATAAATCATGTACTGGGTCAAGAGAAGGAGTTATGTAGAAGTGAACCTGTAAATATTCAGAAGTGCAGAGCTATGTACATCAACAAAACTACACTATGGAATTAATAAATAATATAACTATACTTTCATACTATCCATTAATTTAACCCACTAGTGCCACTACATTTTCAAGCCGACACCCGGGATTTTTTTTTTTCTCGAGGTGTCTCACATGTGAGACATCTGGCGCAAGTGGGTTAAGTTAAACCTGGCCATTAAGAAATTTTATCCTGCTACTGCACATATGCTTGCACTTTCTCAGGCTATATTATATAGACCTTTCCTGTTTACCCCAATACCTTGAATTTTTTATTGTCATCACTTTAATTATGTTCATTCCAAAGCTGGGACTATGTGAATTTTGTTTCATCATGGATGGTTCCACAACTGCTCAGCAACCAAGTTAGTGCTATTAACCCGATGCTGCCAGGGATGGTGAGCATGCACATGCTAAGCCAACAGGGAGTTTAATTCATCAATTGCATTTACAAATAGATGGCTCTTCAAGTGTTTAGTCACCAGTAAATCAATCACTACTCTAACCTATCTCACAACTTTACACTTTTCTTTGATTTTTGGAAATATTTCACTTTATATCTTTAACTATTAGTAGTGTCAAGAAAACTAATAGCAGTAATCTCAACAATAATAATAACAACATCAATATGAACAGCATTCAAGGAAAAAGGAAAAGGAAAAAAGACTAAAAGAAATAAGGAAAAAGAAAAAATGAAATAAGGAAAAGAAAAAAAAGAAAATGAAAAAAGAAAAAAAAAGAAAAACAAAAAACAAAAAGAAAAAAACAAAAGAAAGAAAAAAAAAAGAAAGAAACAAAATTGTGTGTAATATATATATCTATATATAAATATATATATTATATATAA